CCCTCTGGCGTGTCAGCCACTCCTCCCAACTCCTGCCCAAAACAGGCATTGCCATGTGAGACACGAAGGGGCACAGAGCAAGGCTCCCCATGAACTGCTATGGCAAAGCGCTCACCTCCAGCCTGTCCAGGAACAGCTGCTGCAGCAGCTCCTCCCAGAAGGAAGCGGGTTTATCCAAAAGGCGGCGGCACACGGCCTCCCAGTTCTGGCTCACGGACTCGCTGGTGAGCAGCTCCCACACTGCGTCGCGAATCCCCGCGAGGCCTTTCATGCTCTTCACGTAGACGAGCAGGTTGCTGACCCCGGCCCTGATGTCGTCGCTGCACCTGAAGGCAAATTTTGCTTTGGTTTGACTTTTGGCTGTGTCAAGGTGGGGGAATTCTTAACCTGACGGCAAGGGGCTCTGCCTGTGGAGTCACCCATGGGGCTGAGGGTATCTCTGCCTCTCAGTGAGGCTGCTGCACCCTGGATCCCACCAGCAGGAACCCTGAGCCGTGGTGGGGGTCAAAGCCTGGAGCTCAGCACCCCAAGGGTGCCAGGAGGGAGGAAGGGGTCTCTGGGAAGGGTTGCTGGGGAAGCATCCCATGGGCTGCAGCTGAGGGCAGGACCAGCTGGCTCCATCAGATAAAGGCACAGGATGAGGGGCAGGTGGGGCTGATCCCATCTACAGGGCGAGGTGTGGTGGGATGGGGTGGAGCTGGCAATGCTATAAAGTGGGACTGGCTGTCCCCATCCACTCCAGGAAGGAGCAATGAGAAGGAAAGAGGTGCTGGACCAGGAGCCAAATGAGCCAGGTAAGGGATTTTCCTCTCATTTACTGTGCTTGTTTGCTGGTGGTTATGGCAGTGTAAAGTAGCTCTAGACCAGTATCTTTGTGCAGCCTGGGTCTGTTATATTGGAGTGTTACAGCCTGGCTGTTAGGATGGTGTTATGCTGCCTCTAGCTGTTTTATGGCCAGGGGGAGAAGGGGATATTGGGTGAAAACCGAGCAGAAGGCACAGCCTGCCTGGAGCAAGTGCGTGAGATTAGGTGTGTTTTGTGCTGCTACCCTGGCACAGAGGCCTCAGTGTCTGGGAGAGCCCTGCCAAGGGGGAGAGTGTCACACTCACATGGTGATCCACTGCTGCAGCGTGTCCCTGAGGTAGTCCTGGCTGATGGGGTGTGCCAGGGTCCTTAGGGCTGGCTGGAACTGCACCACAGACTCTGGGAGGTACCTGAACCAGCTGCTCAGCTTCACCTCGTCCTCCAGAACCCCACCTCTCCCTGGAAGCACATGGGGTTGGGGGGATCAGCCCAGCACTGGGGTGATCTCCCACCCACAGAGCTGCCCAGGCACTCACCTGCAGGGTGCTGGCCTGTGGTGCTCTCCAGGGTGGAGAAGAGCAAACCACAGGGCAGGGCTGGGTCTGGTGGCATCCCTTCGGGCACGGTGTAGAAGAGAGCATGAGCCTGGTACAGGGTAGTGGTTAGCAGCTCCATCAGTGAGCACACCTGGGCTTTTATACCTGCACCTGCAGAGAAATGCCTTTCAGTACAAGCAACCCTGTGTTTCAAGGCTTGGGCTTCCAGTAAGACCCTCCAGGGGAGGGCTGGGGGGCAGAGGACTCAGTCCCTTTATGGATGGGCTTGGCTTAAGACCTCAAGCACTGTTAATTCTTGCAGTGTTTTGTGGCAAATCACTGCCAGTGGTGTCAGCCACGCCACTGCAGTACCATGACATGGTTGTGTCCCCTCCATCATGAGCTTAACGGGACTAACACCCCAGAGCTCTTCTGCAGGGCAAAAGGGAGCTGAAGTGAAGGGAGTTACCCTGACTCTAGGAAGGAGGCAGCTCGCTGTACTCACTGTGGTGTGGCTGGTTGAGCAGCTGCTGAATGGCCAGCTTCCTGGCCAGAAGGAAGTCGGCGAGGGCCTGGCGTGGAGAGCTGTCCTCCAGGAGCATGATGGCACACAGGGCTTCTGCCACTGCCTGGTCTGACACGGTCTGGCTCTTCAGCAGGGACTTGCTCTCCTGCAGGATGGTGGATCTGGCAGGGGAATGAGGTGGCTGGTCACTGGTCTCGATGCTTGACCAAAATATTCAGGTGTGGTTATGTGATGACCCACCAAGCGAGGATGTTATTTTCCCCAGGCAGAAGTGGGACTCTCTGGGTGTTATGGGACTGTGTGAGGTGTTTTTGCCCTGTTGTAGGGTGGCCAGCAG